AGATGGGGATTAGTCTAAGTTCCAAAAAAGCAGACCACAGAATGTAATTCAGTAAAAAGAAAAAAGGGAATGGCCCCTTGCAGAGAAGGTACTTCACATTAGCCACTCAGTGACAAAGCCTTTAATTCCTTTACCAGCCAGCACAAGAGACAGAAATGTAATTAGAAAATTAAATTATTAAATGTTTCAAGTGTTCAAAAAGAAGATAAATAAGGAGAGTTCTGTGGTTAAAACTGAATTGAGGATGAGAAGAAAGGTTTGTACGAATAGTGTTTAGACAAGCTATTGTTTCTGCATCTTGTCCTCTGAATAACTACTACAAAGACAACAATACGCATCATATTAAATATTGTAATTGTCCTACAAACCTGTTTTGAAACTGTTTCATTGCTATTTTTTTCTCATTAAAATGAATAAAATTTTTTTTAAAAAGCTGAATTGAGAGAAGGCTAACGATGATATTTGTATAGAAATGGAGAGAAGAAACAAGTAGTCTTGGGACAAAAGTACATTAGAAGGGGGCCTGCCCCTTCGCTCAGTTCTTTAAGTGGCTGCTTCAACAAAGCAGTCAGGCTCAGGTTGCTGTGGTTGATCCCCACAACTCAGGCCAGCCAAACCTGCCCTGAAGGCATTCGGAGCAAAAAAAAAAAGTACATTAGAATTTTACATTTTATTTATTTATTTATTTATTTACTGCAGAACCGGGGATTGAACTCAGGCCCTTATGCTTGCCAGGCAAGCACTTATTCTACTGAGCTATCTCCCCAGCCCCCGTTTACATTTATTTTATGAAAAATACATTAAAATATGGCTAAATTTATAAAAACAATCTGATACTCCCCCACATGGCCTATAAATTTTTCTAAAACCCATCACAAAAACAAATTCATAGATCAAGTTCTCCAGAGTTCCCTATGATTAATAGTTAATTATCTTATAATGGCCCTCCCATGCTGGACCCACCCCCAGGGCACACTGAGACAGCAATTGAGACTGGGCATGGTAGCATGTGCCTATAATCCCATCTCTTGGGAGGCTGTAAATAGATGGATCACTATGAGTCTGATCTAGTAGTGAGATCCTGTAGATCCTTCCCTAAAATAAATAAATAAATAATTTTATAATGGCAAAATATTTATTTATTCATTTATTTATTTTACTGGGAGCCTGGGAGATAGCTCAGTAGAGTAAGTGCTTGCCTGGCAAGTACAAGGGCCTGAGTTCAATCCCTGGTTCCACCAACAAAAAAAAAAAAAGAAAAGAAAAAAGAAATATTTTATTTAGTGTGTGTGGCTGGCTCAGCCCACCCTGGGGGTGGGGCTGCATGGCATGTGGTGCTGGGGATCAAACTGGGGTCCTAACCTTGCCTAAGCAAGTGCTTTAGACTGCTGAGCTACCTTGCCGGCCCCTTTATTTATTTTTTAATCTTTATTTATTTGGTACAGGGTCTTGCTACACAGCTTGAACTTAAGTGATCCTCCTGTCTTAGCCTCCCCAGCCCTGAGATTACAGGAGTGTGCCACCATGCCCAGTTTCAGAGCCAGCACAGCATGCCCAGGGTTCTGGTGCTGGCAGGCATGTGGTACCAGGGATCCAACCCGGGTCCTTGTGCTTGCTAGGCAGATGCTTAGACCACCCAGCTTATCCCCAGCCCAACAGTGGCAAAGATTTTAGAGGTAGTGAAAACAAATCTTTTCAGGTTTCTCTCAGTAAATATATGTTTTGCCATATATATTTCAAAACCCTTGGCCCTGTCCAGCTCTTCTGGCAGCCCATGTGCCCTGGGCCTCCCCACCTCAAATAGCATCCTCAGCCTATTAATAAGAGCAGTGGCTCCTTTCATCCACTAGCCTTGGCCTCCACGAGTGATAATGACTGACCTCAGAGAACACCAATGTCCTGCCTGCCTCCGACACCCTGAAAGATGGGTTGAGCGTAGGCGTTAGAGTCAGATTGCCCAGCTCAGGCTTCCTGCTGTGTCACTTTGCGCAAGGTCTGTGGCTTCTCTTTGTTTCAGTTTCCCCATCAGCACAGTGGAGATGATATTCTTCATGGGATTTGGGGGAAAGATTCATTAGGCAATTCAAATAAAGCACTTCTAATGAGGCCTGATGCACAGCTCTCAATAAATGTTTACATTTGTCAGGACTAAGAAGGCAGAGAAGCCTCAGAAAGAGGCAGGTAGGCTTGGGTTCAGGTGCTGACTCTGCACAATGTTGGCCAAGTCACTGCCTCCGCCTCGGTGAAGTGGGTGTGGAGGAAGCTACCTCAAGATCAGTCCCTAGGAAGTATGTTCTCTCCTTTACTAGTATCTCTCAAATATATTTAACTCTGGTCTGATTCAAGAAATCTTTGTTTTGTTTTTATCACACTTTTATTTTATTATTATTATTATTTTTAATGTATTTAGTACAGGGTCTACAGGGTCTCACTATACAGATCGGACTCATAGTGATTCTCCTGTTTTCAATCTCCCAAGCACTGGGATTACAGGCACATACCGCTACACCCAGTCTCAATCGTCATCTCAGCGACCCCAGTGGTGGAGCTGGCACAACACGCTGGGGATCGAACCCCAGTCCAGTGCCTGCCTAAGCCAGCCCATTAGTCTGCTGAGCTATCTGGCCGGCCCTGATTCAAAGAATCTTAACATGTTTCCCCTGGCTTCTACCCATGGAAAATGAAGATCCTACCCAAATACCAAAAGTACATAGGAGAAGATGGGGTCTAGTTTGTATTAGAAAGTTTTCCTAATTCTGGACTCTGATAATCAGTTAAATTGACACTACACCTGGGAGCCTCCCCTCACACACACAGTAAACAGTTCCGTACTGTTTTATTTATGACAGCTTGCAGCCACAGCGGCCAGTGTGCAGGGTCATCTGCTGAAGTCTACACAGCAGGCAGATTTAAAACACATGTGCATGAATTTTCAAGATGAGTGTGTGCATTAGTTTCTTACAGTTGCTCAGAGGGGCTGGGGAGATGGCTCAGTGGAATAAGCGCTTGCCTGGAAAGCTCAGGAACCTGAGTTTAATCCCCGGTTCCAGAAAAAGAAAAAAAAAAAAAAAAAAAAAAAAATATATATATATATATATATATATATATATATGTATATATATATATATGTAAGTTGTCTTACAGTTGCTCAGCTGAGCAGTGCCTGCCTGGAAAGCATGAGGTCTTGAGTTCAATTCCACATATTCCCTCCCACCCCCCAAAATGTAGTTTCCCACAGTTGCCACAATAAATCATCACAATTTGGATGACTAAAAAAATAGAAATTGATTTTATCACCATTCAGGAGACCAGAAGTATAAACTTGAGGTATTGGTAAGACTGATTCCTTAAAGAAGCTCTGAGGAAAACTCTGTCTCAGTCAACTTCTTAGCCTCTAATGACGACCAGCACTCCTTGGAAGTTTTTGGCTTGTCTCTCATTCACTCTTGCATTTTTTTTTTTTTAAACAGGAATCAAACTCAGGACCTTGTGCCCAGCCCCCCATTTCTCTTCATCAGCCCATAGACTGCTCAGTCAGGTGCCCTTCTGTGTCTGTCTTACTTTTCTCACTGCTGAGAAAAAATACCGAACACCTAAAGTTAAAGGAGGAAAGGCTTATTGTGGTGGACAGTGTAGAGCTACAGTACCTAATCAGCTGACTCCAAGTCAGGGTGGCACTGCAGGGGACATTACAGAGGAGAAGCAGTTCGTGGCAGGCAGAAGGCAGCAAAGTAGCAAGCAAGAAGCAGTGGCAACAGCAGCCCTCTCTCCATCCCTTGTATTCTCTCCAGGCTTCCTGTCCTCAGGGGAAGCAGCACTCACACCCTTAACCTACCATCACACCATGAATCCATCACACCATGAATCAATCCCAACATCACATCCTTGGTCCCAGCATCACACACCCCAGATCCAGCCACCTCCAAAAAGCTCCACCTATAACTGCATAAGGCTTTGGGGGGACATCTAGATACAAGATGTAACAGCATCTTTATCCTGTCTTCTTTTTAAAAGGGCAGTGGTCAGTCTGGTGTGGTGTCACACATTTATAATCCCAGCACCCTCAGAGTCTGAGGCAGGAAGATCCGAATTCAACCCTACCCCAGGCAATTTAGCAACTTTGTGGCACAGTGCCTACCTAGGAGGCACAGAGTCCTGAGTTCTATTCCAGGTACCAAAACAACAAAATAAAGTCATTAGATGTAGGGTTCACCCTGCACCCAGTATGGCCTCAACTTAACTTAGTTGTATCTATAAAGACAGCATTTCTAAGGTGCCAGGAGGGTATGAATTTGGAGGGGACACTATTCACAAATATGTATTCATTTTATTGATAATTAGGAGATGATAAATTTAAAGAGAAAAAACACCTGTGGGTCTCCATAAATGAGGTCGCATTGGAACCTGCTCCTACACAGCTGGAGGATCATGGTCAGGTGCCAAGGAAGAGATGGACAAGGAAGTCCAGAGCTGAGCTGATCTGGCTTGGTGTTGGCCAGGCCAGGGGGTGATGCCCAGGGAGCCACAGAGATGCTGAGCTGAGATGGAGGTCTGGGGGACGATCAAGGCTTACTGCAAGGGCTCCTTTGGGTCCTTTGTGTAGGCTCTGTGGCTTGATCCTCTGTGAACTGAGCCCTAAGTTTCCTATCCCTCTGCCTGTCTGATAAAATAAACATAAAAAAATACAAAGAGGTGAGGAAGCAGGATTGCACATTCAACACCCACTTAGTGAGACCCTGTTTCAAAATAAAATATAAAAAGGCTGGGATGTACCTTGAAGTTCCTTGGGTTCAGTGCCCAGGGTCACCAAAGTAAGTTCTGGTCTTTCTGAAGTCCTTGATTTTTAGAATGAAATGGTTAGGCCTGAATTCAGGCTAGCCAGGACTTTGCCAAGACCTGGTGCTGTTGGGGTGGCCTGGGGTTTACACTGTTCTTCAGAGCACCAGTGTGAGCTTTTGAGCTAAAGTAAGCCTCTCTGCTTCCCAACCCCTCCCCATCAGGTAAGAAGCCGGCTTGCCCAGGAGCACAGCATGAAGCTTGATGCTTTCCAGCGGGCGCAAGAGCTGCAGAGTCAGCTCAGGCTCCCTGAGCAGCTGCCTGTCCACATGAGCTGTTCACATGGTAAGCACACCCATCCCCATCCCAAGAGATACAGGGGTCTGCATACAGGGGTCCGTGACTAATGGTAACAAGCCAGGTACTACTGTGGGTCCTCTACAATGTTTGTTGAATGAATGAATGAATGAATGAATGAATGAATGAATGAATGAATGAATGAACTTAATTCTGACTTGTCAGAATTTTCTACTTTAACTTGGAGTACTCACATCTGTTCCAAGAGTTTGCAATCAGCAATAACAACTGGTCCCAGTGATGGCTACATTTCTCTGACATTATTCACAAACTGCATTGTGATGCTTGTATGGGGGCCTGAGGCTATCACAGGCCATTGAAACAGTCCTCCAGGTGACAGTAAACTTGCTTCCTCTTCTGTAGGATGAGGACTAAATAAATTTCTGGTTTTCCTCCAGCTCTATCAAAAATATCACCAAACAGCATGGTTTTTGGTTTTTTGTTTCAGTGAAGATCAGCTGATCCCTTCCCTTCCCAGTGTGTAGCATAGCTTGATGGTTGAGCTTTAGAAGAGGACAAGCCAGAATCTTGTCACTGCTGGTTGTGTGACCTTAGACAGGTTCATTAGCCTCTCTGTGAAGCAGAAATACAAACCTAAAGGGCTTCTTCTGAGGATTAATGAAATAATGCACATCTGATGCTCAGAGACGGAGAACTGGAGTGAGGTACAGATGGGTGGGAAACTCTCCTCCCCAAGCTGGGGGCAGGGCATGAAAGGCAAGGAGGCTCTTCCCAGGGACCCACGGGAAAGTTACTCCCAGAACACAGACAGCCCTGTAGCTCCTCTCTATAGTCAGTCAGAAGAGGGGCATGTGAGGACGTTGTCTGTGTAGAGTCACATGTAGAGGAGCTAGGTCACAGCTGTCTTTATAGCACCTTACCACCCTGAGGACATGGTTGTCAACTACACTAGCAGTTCCAAATGGTAAAAATCAGCCATACATTCCCCTTCTTCCTCCTCAGCTACTGGCCAGGCCAGCTGGATTTTCTTTTCATTTCCTCTTTTCTTTTTCTTTTTTCTTCCTTTCTTTCTTTTTTTCTTTTTCCTGAGACAGGGTCTCACTATGCAGTTCATGCTGGCCTTGAACTCCCAGTAGGTTCTTCTGCCTCAGCCTCCCAAATATTGGGATTACAAGCATGCACCACCACACCCGGCACCAGATGGCATCCTGAAGGGTTCCAGATCTCTCCTTCCTGTTACAGCAGCAGCAGCTTCCCTGTGCCCCCTGTCAAAACATAGGCACTGTCAAGGTCATGTTCTCTTGACCTCAGATTAATGTGGATTCACCTGGGTCTTGCAGTTCCTGAGAAACTGCAATTTGTCCTAGAGCAGTTACCTTTGAAATGCTTAAAGAAAACATGAGGTCAACTGGCTCACAAAACTATAAAATGTTTAGAGGTGGACTGGGTCAAGGCAGCCTGAGCAAATTTGGATCTGTTTCATGAGGACTGTTTTAGTCACTGGACTCTGAGCAGGCTGCGAGCAGAAACGAAGTGAGGTCCCTCAGGCAGTAGGATGACTACCACTCTGTACTCATGGCCAGCAAGGGCTCTGACTAGACCAACTCGCGTCATATGCCCACTTTTGAACAGATCCCAAAGCCAAGGAGTAAGATACCTGACAGTCTTGGGCCAGTTCATCATTTCTCCCCTGGCACCGAGGGTGGGTCAGCTTGCTCTCTCCTCTACTTCACACTTCCTCTCTTTAGACCTCCCCCTCCTCAACTGTTTATATCCAACTTCAGGGGAACTACAAGCCATCAGATGGGCACTCCCATCATTTCTCATCACAGTCCACCCACATGGGTCCTCAGCTGCTTCTCTCTCCTTCCTGTGAAAGTGGTGAAGGTGTGGCATGGATGTGTTCCCAAGTTTCACGTGTCAGGCACTTGATCTCTAGTGGGGGCTACTGAGAGGCGGCAGAGCTCTCAAGGGATGGGGCCTCATCAGAGGTGTGTAGGTCCCTAAGGCGTTGCTCTCTGGCTGCATGTTTCCAGATGTGATCCTTTTCTCCCTCAAGTACCCCTGCAGTGAGACTCTCCCTTGGTAGAGTCCAGAAAAACTGGACCCCAGCCTCCATCCCCATCATAAGATTGTGGACGTTGACCCTCCAGAACAGTAAAGGAAATTAGCCTCTGTTCTCTATAGAATCATCCTGCCTCAAGTAATTTATCATAGTCAAAAACAACAACAACAAAAACAGGCCAATATGGTTGCCCTCTTCCTCTTTGGGCCAATCACTGTGGACATGATCTCATTTACACCTACCTCCTTGGTGTAAAATCTTGAAATTTTCTTTATCTGCTTCATTTCTACGTACTTGCATTTCCAATCCATGCATCCTTCCAATTTGCAACCAGCAATTATATGTTAATCATATATGTGCGAAGTCATGAAACCCACTGAAAGCTAGAAGCCTCCCTTCACCACGTTTTTGTTTGTTTGTTTGTTTGGTTTTTTTTTTTTTTTTTTTCTCCTGTTACTGGCCTTCCTCTTCTTCTTCACAGTCAAACTTCTTAGAAGAGTGCTGGGTATGTAGCTCAGTGGTAGAGAGCTTTCCAAGAGGGCACAAGGCCCCAGATTCAGTCCTCAGCACTGCAGACAACAATAATCACAACAAAGGTTCTAAATAGAATCACTATACTCTCACAAAAAGTAATAAGTAACAGTGGCTTAAACATTGTGAAACGTCATCACTTTTAGCTAACAAAGCTCAGAGGTAGACTATGGAGCTGGCCTCTGTCAGACCTCTTCTCTTCACGTTCTTCCTGGAAGTTAACTGCCTGTATCGCTGTGGCTTTAATGTTTGCCAAGTCTACACCTGCAGCTGGAGACTCTCCGCTGAGCCCTAGGCCCACACAACTGGTGGCTCCTGGCTGTCTCTACTCTGGTGTCTCACGAGTTCAACAGGTCAAGAGGAGCCTGCCTTGCTCTGCTTCTCCAGGCTGGCTCTGTAAGGGGTGGAGGAGTCGCGGTCTCAGCAAATGATCTGGCCAAATATCTGTTTTGAGTCAGAAATTTGAGAGTGATTCCTCAACCTGCAAATCCAGTTCATTACCACATGCTGTTAATTTGAATAGTCCCAGGCTCTCCTCTTTTGTCTCCTGGAGTCCAATTTTCCCATAATCTCTTTCACCTAAAATGTGATTCTAGGCAAAACACTCCACCCAAGATTTTTTGATTTTGTTTTTGAGGTACTAGGGATTGAACCCAGTTACACTCTCAGCCTGTTTATATTTATTATTTAAAGTCAAGGTCTTGAGAGAGTGGGATGTCAGGCTTCTGAACTGGAACTTCCTTTGTGGTGATGAGCAAAGAGTGGGGTGACCAGCCAGCATGGAAGCTGCAGCATGTTTAAAAATGGGTGATGTTGAGAAAGGCAAGAAAAGTTCTGTACAGAAGTGTGCCCAGATCCTTTGGTTCATGAGCGTGATGATTGGGTACTCATGCCTTATGCATGAGAGGTGCCTCCCTCAAACCTTGTTACAAGGTGGGCACATTACCCATCTGACATAAAAAAAAAAAAGAAGAAGTGTGCCCAGGGCCACACTGTTGAGGAGCGAGGCAAGCACAAGACCAGCCAAATTTCCATGGTCCCTTTGGGTGGAAGACAGGTCAGGCTACTGGATTCTCTTACCCAGATGCCAACAAGAACAAAGCTATCACCTGGGGAGAGGATACACTGATAGAGTACTTGGAGAATCACAAGAAGTACATCCCTCAAACAGAAATGATCTTTGCTGGCATCAAGAAGAAAGGAGAAAGGGCAGACTTAGTAGCTTACCTCAAAAAGGCTACTAATGAATAATAGTCACTGACTTATTTATTACAGAACAGAAATGTCTCATGGCTTTTGTTTGTGTACCATAATTTAATAGATCTTATACACCAGAATTAAGACCATGAATGGCTGATAATATTTTTGTTGGACAGTCCTGATTTAAGTAAAATTGGCTTGTAGTTAAATGGGTATCTTTTTTTTTTCTTCAAGTTTTGATAGTAATTCCAGTTCAGTAAATACTGTCACTGTTTCCCCCCTCTAAATATATGGTTGCACTTGATTAATAATTTCAACTTTTCACAAAGATTGAGAATGTCATCTCAAAACTATTGAAGGTTGGTTTTATGTTTAGATTTATATAACTGGTTATGTGAATATGTTTAAATACTGGGAGAATCCTTCGTTGTCTCAAACCAAGCAAGACTCCCATGTTTTAATTTGTGTTTATTAGCCTGTTAAAGGGAGTAGTTGAAGACAAGAAAGCTATGTCTATATTTTTGGTCTTCTTTTTTTTTTTTTTTTGCAGAACGGGGGATTGAACTCAGGCCCTTGCGCTAGCCAGGCAAGCGCTTATTTTACTGAGCTATCTCTCTGGCCCATTATATTTTTGGTTTTCACTATGCCAATTTAATTAAAATTCCCTGTATCTAAAAAGTACTTCCTTTTACTTACCGAAAGGTATTCTAGTGTGGTGTATGTATTATACCAAATAAAGAATATATAGCATTTCTTACATTTTATATAGTTGATCTGTAAGTTCAGATCCTTTTAAGAATTGGCATGATGTAATAGCAAGTTAGACTTTACTTTTGAATTCTTTTTTTTTTTTTTTTTGTGGAACCGGGGATTGAACTCAGATCTTTGCGTTTGCCAGTCAAGCGCTTATCCTACTGAGCCATCTCCCCGGTCCCAACTTTTGAATTCTTTAGGCCAGTTTGAGTTACTATTCAGGGTAGTATTTAAACAGCTATTTAAAAACACAAGACTAAAACTACTGTTGTGTGTGTGATTGGTAGTGGTGCTTCCTGTCAGCTCATTAAGATTAAAGTGAGGAAGGTACAGCATGAGCACAAATTTGTATGAGACCATAATACTTAATTAAAAACAAATCAGATTAGAAAATAAAGTTAGGGTTTTGCTGGGTTTAGTGGAGCACGGCTGTAATCCCAGCAGTTGGGAGGCTGAGGCAGGAGGATCAATGGGAGTTCAAGGCCAGCCCAGGCTACACAGTGAGACCTTGCCTCACAAAACAAAAACAATAAAAAATAAAAACAGGGCCTTGCCAAGTTACTAATTGTCCAGGCTGGCCTCAAACTGCCCCAGCCCTTCAAAGTGCTGGAATGACAGGCATGTGCTATATCATGCGTAGCTCCATCAAAGTTTTGATATCTTCACTCAAAGTTGATGGATGAAGGTGAATTAGATGCCCACGTTAAGCTCCACAATTTCATAAATTAAACCTATGCTTTCCCCTTGCCACAGAGATCTCACTTACCCAATTTTTAACTTTATAGGCCTTGCATCCCTAAGTTCCACATCATCTGGACATTCCCACCAACACTTTTTAAAGACTAACATATTGAGCAGTAAAATTACAGGAAGGAGTCAAAGACCAAAGACTGTAAGTAACAATAAGTTTGATTATATGTATGAATGTATGAAAGTATGAGAAGTTTAGACCTTATGCTATGGTTTTAGGGTTACTTCAGACTTATGTTCAAAACATGTCATACCAGGAAGTTGGAGGTACTTTGGATCTGGATAACAATACTCTGATCTTGGTATAATTAAGCCCAACAGTACCTGCTCTATCATAAGCCAACCCGTGGGTATGGAAATCAGGATCAACAGTCAGGAGGTTGAGGTGGAGGATATTTGCGAGGTCCAGACCAGCCTGAGCTATGAAGAGAGTTCAAGGCCAGGCTGAACTGCATAGCAAGATCCTGTCTCAAAAAAAAAAAAAAAAAAAAAGTTCCGGTTCTGGGCACTTGGCAGCTACAGTTTACAGTGCAATTATGACCAAGTCCAAGAACCACACCATGCACAGCCAGTCCCGAAAATGGCACAGAAATGACATCAAGAAACCTCAGTCACAAAGATACGAATGTCTGAAGGGGGTAGATCCCAAGTTCCTTAGGAACGTGCATTTTGCCAAGAAGCACACCAAGAAGGGCTTCAAGAAGATGCAGATAAACAATGCCAAGGCCATGAGTGTTCATGCGGAGGCTATCAAGGCCCTCATCAAGCCCAAGGAGGTCAAGCCCAAGATCATTCCAAAGGGGGTCAACTGCAGGCTTGCTCAGCTTGCCTATACTGTCCACCCCAAGTTTGGGAAGTGTGTCCATGCCCACACTGCCAAGGGTTGCAGGCCTTGCCAGCCAAGCCCCAGGCTCCAGCCAAGGCCCAGGCTCCAGCCAAGGCCCAGGCTCCAGCTTCTGCTCCAGCCAAGGTCCAGGCTCCAGCTTCTGCTCCAGCCAAGGCTCAGGCCCCAGCTTCTTCTCCAGCCCAGGCTCCAAAAGGTGCCCAGGCCCCCATGAAGACTCCACAGTAAAAACCTCTTATCTGCTGATGTAAAAACAGAAGGACTGGTGTGACTTTTGGGGTGCCATCTGTGAGGGGCTGGCATCTTCCTGTGCTCTTTGTACAAATAAACCTGAGGCAGGGAAAAAAAAATCTTCTATAATAATTAGTTACCAATCAGATACTTTATCTGAGAATTTTAGAAATTATGTTAAACTACATGAGAAATTATTCTCCAAGAAAGCTCTTCAAGCACAGAGTATCACATATTTGAAGAATTTTTTGTAAATATTCCAGCTCTTAGGTCATAGTTTTAAGAATTTACATTCTTTCCTGTATCTTCTCTATGTTACTTTAATAAGTATTTTATCCTTTGCTCAATTATCACTCATGTCCCTTCCAGGAGTTTACATATCTAATCAACACATTGAAGAGTTGTTCTCCTCTTTCCTTGAAAAAAATTAATAGGCAAAGAAGTTGTCACCATTTCTTCAAAGATAATTATGCCATTCTAAGAAGTAGGTTGAAGCTGTAATTCTGAAACTGATGATCTAATTTTGTTTTGTTTTGTCTTGTTTTGATTTTTGCCTTTTTGAGACAGGGTCTCATATCCATCTGGCCTAGTTAATGGACCAAAAGCTTATGACAGTATTTCTACATGTGCGGTTAAGAGAGGGAAGCCATGGGTTGGGAACGTACTCACTTGGGATCTTAAACACACCCAGACCCTATTACTAATGTCTATGATTTGCTGGATTCACTGTCTCTCCAATATGTGATTCTAGGACAGTCCTTCAGTGTTCAGAGGCAATAATTCCAAGGTGCCATAGGATACCATAAGCCATGGATACTCAACAACCTTACATAGGACAAACTCCTGCTTGCATACAACCTACATACATCCTCCCTTATGTACTTAAATCATTTCTATATTAGCAAATGCTATGAAAATACTTATTTTACTGTATTGTTTAGGGAATAACAGGAAACAGTTTACATGTTCACTGCAATTGCAATATTTTAAAATTATTTTTGATTGGGTCAGGGAGATAGCTCAGTGGCTTACATATCTGCCTGGCAAACCCAAAGACCCAAGTTTGATCCTTGGTACTGCATGCCATAAAGAAACCCTGTTTCAAAAATAAAATCTGTTTCTTTAGGCCTGGAGATATAGCTCAGCAGCTGAGCACCTGCCCCACAAGCGCAAGGTCCTGAGTTTAATCTCTGGTACTGGAAAAAAAATTTGTTTATGTGTTTGGCGCAGGGTCTCAGTACACAGCTTGGACTCATAGTGATCCTCCTGTTTTCAGCCTCCCCAGCACTGGGATTACAGGCATGCGCCACCATGCCCTGTCTCATTGGGTAGCTCAGCGCACCCATGGAGCGGGGTCGGTGCTGCAAGCAGTGCCACCTAAGCAGGTGCTTAGTCCACTAAGCTATCTCATAGGCCCTAAAAAAGTATTTTTGATCAACAGTTACAGTCCACAGATGCAGTACAATGTACAGAGTGCCAACTATATATATATATCTAATTGTTTATACAAAGGACTTTTCCTATGTGTAGGACCATAAGGTCTTCTCTTCCTCTTCCTCCTCCTCTTCCTCCTCCTTCTCTTTCTTCTTTGAGACAGAGTCTTATTATGCAGTTCAGGCTTTGAGCTCACTTTGCAGCCCAGGTTGACCTCAAGCTCACAACGAGCCTCCTGCCTCAGCCTCCTGAGTGCTGAGCTTACAGGCATGCACCACCACACCAGGCCACAAGGCCTTTCAAGATGAGTCCATTTCCATTTCACTCAAGTGGGCTCTGAGTACTTTTTTTTTTGTCTTTCTGAAACAAGTTTTCACTATGTAGTTCAGGGTGTCCTTGAACTCACTATGTTGCCCAGACTGGCCTTGAACTCATGGTGATCCTCTTGCCTCAGCCTCCTGAGTGCTGGGATTATAGGTGTGTGCCACCATGCCCGGCAGGCTGTGAGTACTTGGTCATGTCTTAGAATTGAAAGGGCAGATAAGTGGCCAAGGCCTGGGAGTATATTTGAGAGACCTAGGAGAGGGGGGTCTAGTGCTAATTATTTGTTGTCCATTGCCCTAAATAAATGAGCCCTCTGAGGGAGTGTATTATGATTTCATTAGTTTGTGTACAATACAGAAGCCCCAAGCAAAAGAGTGGAGGACAAAGGAGGCACACAAACAGAACTGCTCCAGACTTATCCAAGTCTGACTTCTGAAGCAAAGCCCATGAGACAAGTTAGATAAAAACTGACCAAAGAGTAATTAATACATGGCTGGGATGTAAGAACACAGTTTCTAAAAGACAGCAAAGTGCTAACACAAAGGATAAAATATTAAGGCCATTTTAGGTTGTTCCAAACGGGAAAATCTTTTCTTCCTTAGCTGGGAAGGGCTTTCCGCTGAGGGATTTATTCTGAGCAGTTCCCTTAGGGACAAGTGGCAAATGCAGACAGCACACTAAGGACCTAGCTCAGCCTGAACAAAATGTCTCAGTAAGAGCAGCGGCTTTCTATGGTGCTGCATTAAGAATTATTCACCAGCTTTATAAAATATGTATTTAGGGGGCCTGCCCCTTAGCTCAGTTCCTTAAATGGCTGATTCAACAAAGCAGTCAGGCTCAGGTTGCTGGGGTTCGATCCCCACACCTCAAACCAGTCAAACCTGCCCTGAAGG